GAACTTGGCTGCGCTGCATTTGTTGCAGTTACCTATTTCAAATTCCCTATATATACCATTAAATTTGCTATGACTCGATGATTCTGAATTCAAACTTCGCATTACTATGCGTACGGCTGTGCTGAGACCTTCAGCTGATTTATTCCATTTTTATTTAGTGACATTTAGTTAAAATGAGACTGAAATGGTAAATGAGTGAATTATTCAGGTTTAAACTGAAAGAAAAAGTTGCTAGTAGTCAAGAATTACTCAAATGAATGTGTTATAGCTCTCCACCTCATTAGAATATCGTTCCCTAAAATTCCCGCCATGGTCCATCGTAGTTTAGTGGTTTTCGTGAATTTCGTTCATATTCCCTGATTCCCCTTTGTATTATCACATCCTAATCCTCCATATGTATTATTCGTTGTTATAGTAGGTCGTGTCAGAGACCAGATTCGAGACGAAGGAATGTCTCCGTAGTGGAGGGCTTCGGCCTCAGCGACTTCTGCCAAGAGTGCTGTGCCTAGTGACACATCCGTGCCCTAACTTACTGACTGGCAATTAGAACCTAGGGGGGTAACTCTAGTTGATTTTACTACTGGGGTGTAACCTATGTACAAGTGGGATATATATATGGTTACAGCGGAGACAGGTCCGCAATTGGCGGAGCCGAACGGAGCGGAGCTAACGGGGTTTAACATTAGCCGACTGAATATTACCGATGAGTCAGTTCGCAGGGTTAGCGGAAAGGCAGGCGATAACCCAGAAACGGAAAGGAGGGATAGGCCCGAAGGTGGGCTCTGCAGGGCAGGCGAGTGTATTGCCCAGTGGAGGCGGGGGTGCGCTAGCGGACGTCGGAGCTGTCTGGAAGTCTTCGGGGCTCCGTACTTAGGGAGGCGTAGGTAATAAATTGAAATGAGGGGGTGGTGACCATCGAGGGGTGCCGAGAGGATTGCGGAATAATGGGGGCTCCGAGGTTAGTGAGGGAGGAGCGGAGTTGGAACGGAGGGATCGGAGGGACCGGAAGTCAATGGCCAGGGATGGATATGACAGGTCATCCTTGAAGATATCATATTTTGATGTATTTTATTTAGGACTCTGGACCTCTTGAAGCTGTCTTCCCACGTGTTTTCAGGTTTCTAACTTCATGTCCTTGTATCTCATTCATTTCTGGATGTTTTCTCACGTTCTTGGTATCATAAATTTTTATTTATTCCCACCTTTCCAATGGTACTAAGGTTGTGTCCTATTTCCTGGTATTCGTTGAGTTAGCAAAGGTTCGCACGCACATTCGGTAATCACGTGCGTCGTTCCCATAGTCGTTCGTATGCGGGCGCCGTTTCCATTTAATTGTTCGGGATTTATGATATGCCTGGGTGTTTATTTCTTTCATATGGGCTTCTGTGATTTATTTCAGATTTTTCCCTCATGATCTAAGGTTGTTTTGCACTTTCCGTGCTTTGTTTTGACCGGGCTCTTCCTTATTTGGACGGAAATTGTTCCTCGCGATCTGCCGAAGTGTGGATCTCGGTTCCGACAGCCAGTTCCCTGCGCATTGCCACCCTCATGTGTCATTACACATGATGCGGATTTCTATATTCCCGTCATGGGTATAACTTCACAATGGCTGGACCGTTTGGGCTGAAAATTTGCATAACTATAGTTCCCCATTTTTCATAATTCTCGTGTAAATTTCGTTGTATGTTTTAATTATGGATCCTATGCAAACATCGTCTTTTCCCTGAGCTCGGACTTTTGATGTCGCTATTCCCGTTATTGGATATCACATTAATGCATGATCCTTTTATTATGAAAATTTGGGAGGATTAAGATTAGATCCCTTCCTTTCTAATGGGCCATCAAGCTTGTCTCGGTCGTTACTGGTTAATCTTCGTGCTTGCCTTTTAGATGTTGTCCTCATTTTGCAGGAGTTTTAGTCATATCTCCGTCGTTTATGGGTAGTTTCCCCTGTAATTACTTTCATTGGGTCCGTTTGGGGGACATCTACATTTCCTATTATAAACACGACTTTGAATTTTGCATTAGTTCCTGAGGAATCCTTGTTCCATGGTACTTCCATCCTTGGCTACGTGTGCGGACGTGGGAAAGTAGTTTCCGTGGAGGTTCTCTGATTGTTTTTATAGTCAAATCTTGGTCGATTGTCCTAATTCTTGGTTTAATATTTGCTATAAATTCCCCTGAGAATTCCGTCTCGTTGATGGTGAGCTTGAAGTATTTTTGCTATTTTTCTTTCTTTCGATTTATCGCGTATAGTCATAATAATTCGTAAAAATTCGTAAAAATTCGTTAAAATTCAGGTCCTTCTATTTTCTCATATCTACTTGTCGTATGAGGTTTTGTGATTTATCTGGCATATTTCCATAATGGGTTTCCATAGTGTGACCGTTATTTCTCCTACAGCGGTCCCCACTGTGACGACTGTGGATTCAGAGGGTACCGCACGACTCTTCTTAGAGCATGTCTGGAGACACCACGGCCTCCCTGAGGAAATCCTCAGCGATAGGGGGAGTGCCTTCGTCTCCCGCTTCTCGAAGGAGCTCGCAGACCTCCTAGGTGTCAAGCTGACCCCTTTGACACCCTACCACCCCCAGATGGATGGACAGATGGAACAGGTCAACCAAGAGATCGAGGCCTACCTTCGGGTGTTCATCAACCACTGCCAAGACAACTGGGCGGACTGGCTCCCGCTAGCAGAATTTTCCTACAACAACTGCATCCATTCCTCCACCCACTGAACCCCCTTTGAACTCGACACCGGCCAACATCCTAGGATAGGGACAGAACCCACGCACACATCTGAGGTGGAAGCCGCTGATGCATTCTCATCAAGGATGATGACAATGCAGGAGAAGGCAAAGGCAGCCCTAGAGCACACAGCGGTGTAATGGGTCTATCGCCTAGACTCAAGACAGAGAAAGGGGGGAGGGTGGTAGTGAATGCGTGTGTGATGGAGGTTCGGGTTTTTGGGTCCTGGGGTGCTAGCGGGTCTGTTAGAGCCTCAACTCAACACTCACCTACGTCTCTCTTGGACGTCAAGGCCGAGGGTTATGAGGAAAGGGGTCTCAGATGTAAGCAAGTAACTCAGGGGAGGCGTTAGAGTCGTGGATGGCGTCTTTGCCACTTGGATGCAACTTCTGCTTTCTCTTTCACGGGTCTATTCAATACTAACTTGTTATGTACAAGCTGTTATCTAGTTTATATATGTTTGAAATGGAATGAATGGCATGGGGGAATGTAAATGGGCCGTTAGGCAACCGTAAATGATGAATATCCAATTGGGAACAAAGAAACAATAAAAGAAAAATGAATGAATGGGGAATATGTGATAACGGGTCCGAAATGGAAATTGTGAAGGTTAACTCCGCAACACTTCGCCACAGCGCCCGCCTATCCTCCCGCCAGCAACCTCCTCGTCTCCAGCTTTCCAACGAGCCCCTATTCGTCCTATTTGGTGCAGTACTTCTTGAGATGTGGCCATTGACAGGTGCTGTCAAGACCACGTGAGACTCTACTCCGTGCTGAACCATCTGGGCATGGGATTGCCATTCTGGGAAATGCTCCGGGGGTGAAGAAGGAAGGTAGGGCATCACTATCGGGTGGAAAAACGGCTGGGTTGTATGTGTAGGTATGGAGATCTGGAGAGGGGGTGAAATTGGCTGCGTGGTTGGGCGTGGGAATTTTGCTTGGGGTTGTCGGGAATGATGGGGAAAATAGGGAAAAATAAGGAATGAGTTTATGGAGTGTTGGATAGTGATAGAATGAACATCGGGAGCGTCAGAGGGTATGTGGTATATGTTGGTGGCCAAATTCCGCAGAATCCGACTTTTTGCGGTACACGGAGTTGTCCCCACAACAGCGGACGAGATGGCACGATATTATGACCGGAACCGTGACCCGGCCCCTAAGTATCGAGAGGGTGACCAAGTCTGGCTCAATGCCCAAAACTACATGACCAACCGTCTGACTAAAAAACTGGACCACAAGTGGCTTGGCCCCTTTAGGATCACTCAAGTCATCTCCCCAGCCGCCATTAAGCTCCAGCTCACCGCCTGACAGAAGGGAATCCACCCAGTCGTGTCCGTGATGAACATCAGGTCACACCTCCTGGACGGTATCGCAGAAAGACCCGCTGACCCATGCCCAGGCCCGGAACTAGTAGAAGGAGAAGAAGAGTATGAGGTTGAGAAGATATTGAACTCTAAGTGGCTATGCCGGAAACTCTGGTATCTGGTAAAGTTCACTGGCTGGCTGAACTCTGAAAACCAATGGCTCCAGCAGGACCACCTAGCCCATGCCCCTGACTGGATTGAGGAATTTCACAGGATGCACCCCCAAGCCCCAGGGAGAGAAAGGGAGAACCACCTAGCCGCTTCGAGGCGAAGCGGCTTAAGGAGGGGTGATGTCAGGGCAAACCTGCCTGACCCGGCTCCACCTGGCCCAACCTGACCTGGTACCCCGCTGTCCACCCTTCCTTACCTCCTCCCCTTTTCCCTTCCTCCCTCCCTCTTCTCACTTCCTTCCTATCTTACTTCTTCTTTATTCTCTCTTTATTCTACATGGATGACCTTCTTTGTATCAATGTACCATTGACCCATCTGCAGTGCGCGCCCACCATGTACCCGGCCCAGGCACCTTGGGCGACTTCCTGCTGTGCCCAGTACGCGTGCCTGCACCGGATGCCCTCGGGATCTCCCATGGAGACACCCAGGTGGTTACGGCTGTGTGCGAGGGTGACGTGGCACCTGTCATGTGATCTAAGCTGCATGTATATAAACGAACCTGAAGTGGGAACCGAAGAACTAGCCTTCTTCTCAACTTTCCACTTCAGTCTAAGTGGCCAGGGACCGCTGTCCCACATCAGGCTTGTCAGTACGCATGCCCGATCCACCCCCTGCCAGGCTCTCAACCCTGGACGAGTCCCTGACAGTCCCTTACGTTCACACAGTAAAGCATGAGCAGGAGGGGGGGGAATGCATTTGGAAACGATAATACAACAATTATGAAGGAGATGAGGCCTCGGCAGTACTGATCGACAGATCGGGTATGCCTTCAGGATCGCCCAACTCCAACACCTCTTCCAACTCGTCCTCGAGTTTCTCCTCCACCTCGACAACAGGATGAGCCTGCAACTTCCCATTCGCCACATCACCACTTGCCTTCTCCACCTTCACCTCCCCATCACCACTGACCGCCTCCTCGAACCCCCCATTGGATGCAGGAGTCTGTAGATTCTCCACCAGGGTAATCAACGACAATACAGCCATGGCAAGAGCAGACAGGGATCGAAGCTCCTCCTGGATCCCAAGAAGGGATTCTGCGATGGAATCTTGGGTTGTCATGCACTCCTTGCCTGCCTGGGATGACCCTCAGCTCTCTGACTCCTCTACCCTCTGCTTCTTTGACAGTCAACTCGACTCTGATGTTCCAGTTGTAGTCGCAGGTTGTTTGCAATGAGCCCGCGCCTTTTTGCAGGTCCTGCACAATGTCAACTTCCCCCTGGGAAAGGTGCACATCAGTCCATAACTCTGGCACCTCATGCATGAGGGCCTCCATTCAGGCGAAGCTGGTAATAAGATGGTAACGGAATGACGCTACACACAAAATATTAATGAAAGAAAAAGAAATCAGTCCTCCCCATCCCATCCTGAGATCGTTGCAGACCCTCTCTACTCACCTTCTGGGCGTTTTCCTTCACCCTAACCTCTCTCTCTCTCTTCCGCCACTCCTCAGCCTCCCTCTTGGCAGACTCCTCTGCCTTGTGCTGACAAGCCTCCTCTTCCACCATCAGACACAGATGACGTCTGCATTCCTGGGACTTGGCGTCCCAGAGCGCCTCCCCATCTCCAGCGTTTTCGGCCAGTTTTTCATCTGGCCAAGATGTGAGATCGAGTTTGGAGTTGGCTGGCATTTGAGTTGCCTTATCATTGATGAACAATGGCTTGATGGAACGTGGGAAATGGAAAAACGTTTTCGGCTCCAGCCACAAACTCATCCACCTGACCGAAAAGGCCTTCAAGGGTTCAGGCCTAAGAAGGGGATACTGTCATATCCCGGATCTTCCACCTCCCTCTGCTCTATTCCTATACAACTCCTATGACCTCCCCAGCACTTCCAATCTCTCTCTGCTGCCTCCAGTCGATGCCAACAGCCCTAGGACTACCTCCTCCTTCGACTCTCTCCCACTCTGCCTCCCATCTACGTCCACATCACCTCCGGACCTCCACTACCATACCTCCACCTCCTCAGACCCCTTGTTCAAAGGAGATGGACCTGCTCATTGTTGATAAACCTCAACTTGCCTATCCACCCTCCTTCCTACCTCCAGTCTCCGCACCTCCGGTACCTCCCCATTCCTACCTTACCTCCGGTCTTGTGTCAGGATCCGGACCCCAACTGGGAGTGGCTGGAGGGTGAGGCCGGGTGTGGAAGCTGGGGTACTCTCCCCAGCTGCTAACTCCTTGAAGTCGCTGAGGGGACTAGCCTCAGCCTTCACAGGGAATGAGCTGAGAAGAAGGGTAAGCTTCTCAGCCCCCTGTGAGGCCGACACAAAAGGACCCTAGGAACTATACAGTTCCCACTTGTTGCCGACTTTCCATAACAGGTGTGACCCATGGGAAAGTTCTGGGCAAGCTGCTTGCCCAGAATGTTCCCACAGTCACGTGTCCTAGGCGAGTTACTCTCCCAGAAAGTTCCCACGGCTGTGGCTGTGCATTTCTGGGCAAGTCACTCACCCAGAACGTTCCCACGGGTCCATGTGCGTGCATCATTGTGTGAAACAGTGGGGGGAAGGATAGGGGGAATGGGGAAATGTGGGGAGAGGGTGGTTAGGGAAAGGGTGAGGGTGTCTGAGGGTGAGTGGGGTCAAGGGCTGTGCCCTGACATCTTGATAATCTTTATTGTTTTATCATTTGATATTTTCTACAACCCCAATCTTCCGGACTACAACTTCTGGGCTCCGGACCTTTCTGGACATCTTTCTCTGTAATCCCCTGCTTATTCTTAAATGGTTCCAGACCTTGCCATTCAGTTGGCTTTTAATTCTCTCACTCCACAAACCTCAGACGTAATTTGGGCTTTTCGCCTATTCCTTATTTGTCCTGTGGATTCTTTTCTATTTACTTCCCCTTCCCCTTGGTAACCTTTGTTTACCTTCTGTTAGAACTGGGCAAGGGCAGACAATTCCGGAGGGGAACCGGAGACTTAGCAAGGAGGGACCTTGGCCTCAGCGACTCAAGTGGAGCACTGTGCCATTGCTGTTTGTCCATTTGGTCCTTAATTTCATAGGAGGTGAGCAGGAAGTCTCTAGGGGGCATTTCAGGTCGATTTTAGACTAAGGCCTAAAACGAGAATGTACAAGTGCCGATATATATATGGAGAGGGCGAAAGCACAAGGAAACAAAGGGGGTCCGAATCGGAACGAAGGGGTCCAAACAGGAACAGAGGGATGACAGAAGCGGAGTGGTACCGAAGGTCATAGGGCTGAACCTGTAGTACATCCAAAAGGAGATAAGGAGGGTGAAGCCCAGAGGGGCAGGAGGATGTGGGGAAGTGGGGATGATGACTAACTGGCTAGAATGGGAAGAAGCAGCAGCCCAAATAGGGATGAGGGGGAAATGCGAAAGATACATTACAAGCGGCGAAAGTGCTGAAGATGATCCGTGGAGCTCGGAGGTTGCGGAGCTTACAGAGGTTATGGAGGCGGGGTTGAAAGTCTGAGGAATATTGGCAATGGTGTTTACATAGTATGAGGTCACCAATGCAATGGACTAAGGCCGAGGTGGGGTCAAAGTCCAAGGTAGGGGCTATGACAGAGTCTCGGAGTGAAGGTATGAGGGGTGTCCGAGTATGAGGTACAGGACAGCAGCGGAAGGTTGCAACTTGGCGGAAGGTCGGCGGAAGAGGGCCAGAGGGAAGAGAGATGAAAGATGAAAAGGGGAGAGGATGTCAGGGACTCGTCCGGGGTCGAGGGGGTCCGGGTATAACATCCGGGACCGAGAGCCTGGCGGGGGGCGGATCAGGCGTGCGTACTGACAGGCCCGATGTGGGACAGCGGTCCCTGGCCACTTAGACTGAAGTGGAAAGTTGTTATTATTATTAAAGGAGAAATATTGTACTACTTACCTGAAGTGGAAAGTTGAGAAGAAGGCTACTTCTTCGGTTCCCACTTCAGGTTCGTTTATATACATGCGGCTTGGATCACATGACGGGTGCCACGTCACCCTCGCACACAGCCGTAACCACCCGGGTGTCTCCGTGGGAGATCCCGAGGGTATCCGGTGCAGGCGCGCGTGCTGGGCACAGCGGGAAGTCGCCCGAGGTGCCTGGGCCAGGTGCATGGTGGGCGCGCTGCAGATGGGTCAGTTGTACATTGATACAGAGAAAGTCGTCCGTGTAGAATAAAGAGAGAATAAAGGAGAAGTAAGATAAGGGAGAAACTGAGGAAGGGAGGATGAGGGGGAAGAAGGGAAAGGGGGAGGAGGTAAGGAGGGGTGGACCGGCGGGGTACCGGGTCAGGTTGGGCCGGGTGGAGCCGGGTCAGGCGGGTGTGCCCTGACAGAGGAAAGGTGTCAGGTCCGAAGGTAAGTATCGGAGCAGATAGGCGAAGGGTAGGAGAATGGCGGAAGGGTGGAGGTGTTGTGAGGAGGAAGAGGAGGAGTGGGAGGAGGAGTAGGAGGAGGGTGGCGAGAGGAGTGGTGTTCGGTCCAAGGTGAGTATCGGAGCGGACAGAGATAGGACAGGAGAAGGATGGAGGAGTGGAGGTGGCATGAGGGTGAGAGGAGGTGTGGTGTCAGGACCGAAGGTGAATATCGGAATGGACAGCAGTAGGGTAGGACTCCGGAGGTGGTGAAGATGGAGGTCCGGGAGTCGGGTTGGGATTGGGTATGCACGGATATGACACCTTCGGATCCAATTGTTTCCACTTGTCAGGGCACACCCGCCTGACCCCACACTGCACCCCACGCCGCACTGCACTACTCCGCTTCCCCTGCTATCACTCCCCATCCCTCCTTTCCCATTTTCCCCCTTTCTCTCTATTTCTATTCTACAGTCAATTTCCCTTTTCTCCATTACTTACCTAACCCCGCTCCCCTGATTGCCGCACATGCTGTGCACACTCCCACCTACTGAGCGGCCACCTCTGGGATCTCCTGCGGAGACACCCAGGGAAGTGCGGCTGTGTGCGGAGATGACATGGCTTCCTACACGTGACCCTAGCCACATGTATATAATAGTGCCTGGGGTGGGAACAGAAGAAGCAGCCTTCTTCTCAACTTCCCACTTCAGGTAAGTACCGTAGCTTTTCCCCTTTAATGATAATCCAACTTCCCACTTCAGTGGTCAGGGACGCTCACCCTGCGACAGGATTGCTGCTATGCACAGCTGACATCTGTCCCACTGAGTCCGTTGCGCCGGGACTTCGCCGCTTTCGGAGCTGTCCCTGACAGCAGAAGAAGGCTTCAACCTCATTTCCCCTGCCTCCCCCACCTCTCCTGCCATGGTGACCGAAGAGCAGTATGTGTCAGAACCGTGCGAATCTTTGCCGATGGTAGCCATAGGCGACCGAACGTTGCCCGCTAGTGGTAAAGGCGTCCTACACATGACCGAGCTTTAGCAAGGGATAAACCCCACCGATCTCGAGGCTGAGGCTACTTAGGCGAGTGAGCCAGGATTTCGGCTTCAATGACTCTAGGAGGAGCGTTGCACCTCGTTCTTGACGCAGTCCCGATACTTCAGAAGGTCGGAGGTCTCACAGGGACAGAGGTAAGCTTTAGGGGGTAATTCTAGTTGATTTCGAACTACAGTACAAGCATTAGTTACAAGCTGTATATAAGCGCTAGGGAACTGAATAGGGAATAAGTCGCCAGATCTCGCGGAGATTGCGGGCAGAGAAAAGAAGCAGGAAAACAAACAAAGAGCACGTGTTCAAGACAGTGAAGGTCAAGCGTGACCTTCGCCACGAGATAACAAGGTGCAGCGAAACATGGAACAACAGGTTGCGGCACTCTGCACCGCTAGGTCGTTCAACGACAAAGAGGAGAGGTGTTGTGGAGAGGTGGCGGGAAGTGGTTAGACAGCGACAGTCGGCAAGCGGAGTGTGCAGGGAGTGTTCGGGCATGGGAGAAGGTCAGGGAGGAGGTCGTCTGCCCCCGGGGAACGCCGGGTCGTGACAGTATGATGAACTGCTGTCCTGATTCCAAGAGCTTGTCAGGGACAGCTCCGAAAGTGGCGAGGTCCCGGTGTGTGGGACTTGGTGGGACGAATAGTGGCTGTGTGTAGCGGCAATCCCGTTGTGGGGTGAGCGTCCCCGACCACTTAGTCTGAAGTGGGAATGTGAGTTATCATTAAAAGGGAAGGCTACACTACTTGCCTGAAGTGGGAATGTGAGAAGAAGGCTACTTCTTCAGTTCCCACTCCAGCTGTTATTATATACATGCAGGATTGGGCACGTGGGGTGCGCCACGTCACCCTCGCACACAGCCATGGTTCTCCGGGTGCCTCTGCAGGGGATCCCGAGAGGGCCTGCTGTGGGTGCGGGGCGAGTGCAGCGGGGGTAGCAGCAATGTAGGGATAGTAAGATACAGGAGGGGAAATGGGCATGCACGCTGGTGGTACATTGAACAGCAGGAAAGGTGGTCCATGTAAGAGAGAGAGAAGGAAAGAAAGAAAGAAAGAAAGAAAGGAGAAAGGAAGCGGTGCGGACCGGGGGTCGGGCGGGGCATGCCCTGACAGAGCTCCAGGCCATCGTAGAGAGCCAAGCTCAGACCCAACCCCCACCTGTGCTCACACCTGCGCTGGCACCTGCGCCGGCACCTGCACCCACCCCCAGACCAAAACCACCTAAAGTTGCTCCTGTCATATCCATTCCCGGCCATCGACTTCCAGTCCCTCCGATCCCTCCGGTCTACC